ATGGGATCCTACGATGGATAAGAATGTAAACGATTTATGAAAAATGACAACAAGGATCAAGTTCAAGCATGCATTTAGTGAGTTGAAAGCTAAGTGTGCAAATAGAAACTTTCAAGTTAAGCCTCCAAATATGAATCCATAGTTATGGGTGAGGCTTGTTCATTTATGGACTGAGGTAATGAAGTAAATTCATGTGTTTATTATTATTTATTTTTTAATTTTCAATTGTAATGTTTAATGTTTTTATCATATTACTAATTAAGAAAATATATTTGTTCACCACTTTTACAAGACAAGGGTCATTTGAGAAGGTCAAATTGTGCAAAGGCAAATCGAGCAAAAGGACCGAGGGTGATGCATACCAACGGTTCAATGGACATTAATGTTTATAGAAAGAAAATGGTATAAAAGTTAATATATTTTTAATAAATAATTAATGAATTATGATTTATAATTTATTTTATATTGACTTTAATATTTTCTCTTCTTTTGTTTTCTTTACAGCAACAAGCAAACCCCAAGGGTCGTCTATCGACATTTCTTGAGCTCTACACCAGTCGAAGGCAGCATAAAGGAAAAGGAAGAGACCAATTGCCTATAAATTGTAATGATGAGGCTCAAGAAATTGGTGTAAGTATTTAACTTAACAATTTTATTTTAATTGTGTCATGAATTAATTGAAATTATTCTAGTTACAATATTGAAACTATTATATAATATGGTTGTTGGTAAAAAAGTTAGAACTCCATCCTTTTAGGGGAGAGTAAATTGAATTATTATTATTTTTCATTTAATTTCTTGAAGTGATATTTTAAATTTCACTTTAATTTTCACTACAATTAATTATTTATTTTGTCCTATATTATTTCAGGAAAAATTGATAGTTGAATATGCTACTAAGCAAGAGGAAGAAGGATTTGACCCTACAATAGCTCATGGTGAGTTATTACTTAGGGCAATAGGGGGGTCAAGAAAGGATGGCTGAAAGGTATAGATATTCACACACATCCACAAGATATAGGTGTGAGCACATCTAAACGGGAACCATTCAGGCCACCCATCATGGGATAGTCCAGTAGGGTCATCAAATTAGAGCAAACTGTTGAATCATTGAAGGTAGATAATCAAAGCCTTCAACAATCACAAATGACCCTTATGGCAGATAATAAGAGCCTACGGCAGACACAGTTGACCCTTGCTGCATTGATGCAACAACTCTACCAACATTTAGGGATGACCCCGACAGATACTAGGGAGACAGTTACCCTTAGGACACCACGAGATATTTAGGTTTTTCATATTTAAATTAAACATTTGTATTCACTTTATATTTGTAGTAGATATTGGAAACTTATATAATTATAGTAAATTAACAAAATTTTTTTGCATTTTATATGATAAATATTATAAATTATGTGAAAATAATTTCACATTATCAAATATGTTAATTTAAATATCAATTTAAATCATTTACATATAAGAAATATTGAATTAAACGAAATACTTATAGACTGGTTTCGGTCCGTATAACAACTATAATGAATACACAAATAGTAAATTGTCTGTTGAGCATCACATGTACATACGGATCGAAATCGATCCATAACTATCTCTAAATGTAGATATACAAATCGGTATCAGTCCGTATATATATGAGGCTCAGCAATGAGTACCATATGTATATAACGGTATGTATATATCTTTCGATTGATATACGGACCGGTATCAATTTGTATATATGTGAGGCTCAATGTTGAGTCCTACATGTATATATGGACTGATACCGATCTGTATATATCTTTAGGCTGATATACGGACTATTAACGGTCCGTATATACATGTGAGACTAATCGTTTAGCCTAACATATATATGGACCGATACCGGTCTGCATATCTTAAATACATATTAAAAATTATGATAAATGAATATATTTAGATAAGTAATTTATAATAAATGAATATTAAGAATTATATATTTAGATAAATACAATAATTTTTAACAACATATTTTTTATTGTATTTATATTTTATAAAATTAAATTACAATAATTAATGTATAACAAATTAACTTTCATAATTTCTTAATTAATTATAAAGATGAATTAAATTAGGGGATAAAGATGTATACGGACAAGTATCGGTCCGTATATATGTTAGGCTAACGATGAGTCTCACATGTATATACGGATCGATACTGGTCTGTATATATCTTTAGGTTGATATATGGACCGTTAACAGTCTATATATACATGTGAGAGTTTACTGCTTAGGGTGGAGCCTTACATATATACGGACTGACACTAGTCCATATATCATTTACATATTTATACGGATCGGTTTTGGTCTGAATATAGACTAACCTGCAACCTTCTCATTTCTTTGTTTATCTCGTGCTCGATTCGTTCTACTCTTGTTTAAACCATAATATTCCGAACGTTTGCATGCCAAAATGGTTAACCTTAGCCCAAAAAAATCAATTTTAGTTGCTTGAGGTTACGAAAGGACATTACCTAACCTTAAATCCAATAACCTTATATTTATACATTCATGGTTTTGCAACGATGTCATCCCGTATCATCGTTAGATAATTTTAGGTGGACAATCGATGATTCCGGGGTTGTAGGGGACTGTAGTGTCAATGTACATGCAATTGGTTTTCGTAACAACGAAATTTGGGCATGGGAAGATAGTGATGTCCTTAAATGAAAAGAATAAAAAAGTGTACTGGGAGAAGCTTCTGGATTTTTGCAATATATTCGGAGCAAACACAGTTTGAAAAAGTGAAAGGGGAGAAGTTTATAGATGCTGGGAATATTTTCGGACCATACCTGGTCCGAATTTACATATACGGACCGGTAGCGGTCCATATATATGCAAGTGTATAGACTTTTTCATGTGTTACCTTATTTCGATCATGTTTTGAATAGCAAGATTTAAAATGCTTGCGTGCCAAAGAAGCTAACCTTTGCTAAATAATCGCGAGCCTTTGCGTTTGCAGCTCTGAAATCACAAGACCCAACCTTAAAGCTAATAACCGTGCATTTATACGTTCGTAATTTTACAATGATGTTATCCTACGCTACTGTTTGACAATTTTAGATGGACAACCAATGATTCCAGAGTTGCGGGGGACTGTAGTGTCGATTTGCATGGAATTGCCATTCATAACAATAGAATTGGGGCACGAGAGAGTAGTGATACACTTACATGAAAAGAATAAAAAAGTGTAATGTACTTAGATGCTTAATATATTCAGACCAAGTCGGTCTGGATGTATTATTCGGACCAATTTTGGTTCGAATATAACCAACTACACCACTGAGAATAGAAACTCTTTATTGGTTCCATTTGTTTTTTTACAAACTGATTTCAATCTCTAAAGTTTTGCCTCCAAGAAATTTCACCAAAAATTAAACTTTTTTCTGGTTGGCGCTTAATTATTTATTTATAGACTGGTTTCGGTCCGTATATTGTTACCGCCAATATTTCATTGAAAATTTAATTTTTTTGGTGTGTGTTAAGGTTAATTATTTATGTTTGGACTGATTTCGGTTCATAAATTTCTACCGCAAAAATTTTCACCGAAAATTGAAGCTCTCCGTTTGGCGGTTTTCTAACAATGATTTGCTATATTCAGATCGGTTTCGGTCCGTATAAAGCCTATATATTACCAGCTTCTGTCAATTCTTTCCTCATTTTTTTGATTTCGCTTCTTTTTCTCTTTCTTTTTTCTTCTTCATCTCCTCCGTTTCTGGATTTTCTTACTTTGTTCCTTCCTCTTCTTTCTCATTTCCTTTCTTTTTTTCTCTACTGCTTTTATTCTTTTTCCTTTTTTCTTACTCTCCACCTCTCTTTTCTCTCTTCTTTCTCTACACTTCTTATTATTCTTCACCTTTTCTTTCTTGTTGATTTTTCTACCTTTTACCATCTTTTTTATTCCACTCTCCTTTTTATTTCTTCCATAACATGTTATAAATTTTTTTAAAGTTTTATAATGTTTTTGATATTGGTATATTTTTATTATTTATATTTTGTTTACTAACTTCTTT